AAAATGAAGACTGCTCTCAAACTGGAGCGAATGCTTATGAAGAGGCTATGAGGGAGACTCGGGGCTTCTGCTGTGCTAAGCCCAAGTCTGGTTCTTCCAGACTCAGACTGCAAAGTGCAGTGAGGAGCTTTCAGACTTTCAGCGCTGGCCTGACCTGCTGGGAGACTGAGCCTCCAGATTGAGGAGTTACAGTCCTTAACTTGCAGCCCCGTACTGTAAGGTTACCCAGCCCCATGTGTAAGCCATTGCAATAAATCACCTATGTGTGCATGTTGTATTGGCTGTTCTACAGAGCCCTATCTCCTACAGTGCTCTTTGTGCTTCTTAGATTTGCTTTTCCATCTTAAATTCTCATTCATTCGCATTGTCTATGTTGATTGAAACTCGAAACTATCCCTAATCTCTAAGCTGTTTGTGCTTCTATAGATGGTTTAGTCTCTGTTTAACCCTCCCATACACACAGTCTTCTATCATTCAGTTTTTAATCCTCATCTGCTTTCTTCTCCTCCTTCCCCTCACCTTCCTCCTCCCCTTACTTCTGCCCTTCCCTCCCACCCACCTCTTCTTCCTCATCAACTCTCTCCTCTTTCCCCTCCTCCTGGATGTTGAGGAATTACATGGGAATTTTCATTTCCTCAGTGGGCAGCTATAAAATTTTAATGCTCATTCATCTCTGGTGAGATTAATTACGTTGCTGGAACTCTGTGCATACTTTGTCCTGGCCACTCTAGATCCCTCCTCCAGAATCTCTGCCCAACCTGCAGTAGCTCCTAAGAACTCAGAGCTGGGAGAGGGGAGGTGAGTGTAACCCCAAGCTCTCCTGGGGTGGGGACCCCAGCAGGGGTCCATCGCTGCAGAAATGAGCTCTGAGAGACCATCTGGTACCGTCTGTTGTTCTGGGCACCCACACCTAATCCCAGACCCTTACTCCTGGCTGTCTTCTTCTGTTGACAGGCACACACACCAGACTGTCTCTCTCAGACCCTAGCACTGCTTGAGCAGGGGACAGAGGGATCTTATAGCCCCACTTAGGAGCTGAGTTCATGGAACGCAGGGTAGGGGATGCCTTGCAATGACTGTTGGATACAGCAGGGAAGCTCTGGACCCAGTCATGAGAGAGCCTCCCTGCGTCCTGAAGGCCAGGGCCTAGAGCTCTGGGGAGGGCTGGGGCCATCGACACTTGATCTGACCAAAACTAGATTCATATCCACCATGCTGGCCAGTCTTGTATCAACTCAACACAGGTAGAGTTATCTGAGAGGAGGGAACCTCACGTCAGAAAATGCCTCTATAATTCTGGTTGTAGGGCATTTTCTTAATTAGTGGTTGATGAGGGAGGAACCAACCTATCCCTGGGCTGGTGGTCCTGGTTTTTCTATAAGAAAGCAGAGTGAGCAAGCCATGAGGAGCAAGCCAGTAAGCAGCCCCCCTCCACGGCCTCTGCATCAGCTCCTGCCTCTGGTTCCTGCCCTGTTTGAGTTCCTGTCCTGACTCCTTCTTTGATGATCAGTGCTGTGGAAGTGCAAGCCGAGTACATCCTTTCCTCCCCTACTTGCTTTTGGTCATGGTGTTTCCTCATGGCAATAGTGACCCTAGTGAGACAGACACGTGTGCCTCTGTGTACACATATGAGGCTGCCACTGGCCAGCTCATGTGAGGGGCAGCCCCTCCCTCCAGAATCTCTAGACTTCTACACCATGAACCTCAGGCCAAATGGCCTGAGGATGGACTACTGACCCCTGCGTTTGGAGGAAGGGAGTTCTCAAGTCATCCCCCTGTTCAGATTGGGAGCTCTAGTGACAGGGCCAGGGTTTTTCCCTCAGTCCCTTGGGACAAGGCTAAACCTGCCCAATTCTCTCCATTCCCCATGCCCCAGTTTTCTCTGTGTGGACACAGAGGTGAATCACTTGGGCCTCCCTTGAGGAAGGACTGGTGTAGCTGGGAATGCATCTTAGTCAGCAGAGTGGTTACACAGAATGCACAAAGCTATGTCCATGTTCAACCCCAGTACTGTATAATCCAGGCATGTCATGATGTGTGCATTCTGGGAATGGAAGGAGAAGAATCGGGAGTTCAAGGTCATTCTCAGCTATATAGCAAGTTCAAGGCCAGCCTGGGCTACATGAGACTATCAAAGAAAGAGCTGGTGGGGAGTGAAGAAGAGATTTGTTTTCATCTCTGTAGCGCAGCTATTCCCTGCCTTCTTTTTCCTGTACTGTTCACAAGGCGATAAAACTCCATTCTCCAAGACACATCTATCTCAGTGTCTGCCCCCCTCAACCACCTGAAATGGCACTTGTGTCGGTGGCATCAGCTCTCCCCAGAACTCTAGGCCATGGCCTTCAGGAAGCAGGGAGGCTGTCTCATGACTCAAGCAATGCTAGGGGCCTCAGAAGGCACAGGCCATGTTTCCATCAGTGTCAAGCCTAACTTTACCACAGGGCCAGCCATGGTGCTAGATAAGAGAGAGGTGAGTGAAAGAAAGAATGAAAGAATATTCTTTGAACATCTACTCAGGCCTCCCTGTGAGCCTCCAACCTATGGATGGAGGTGAAATGCTCTGGAAAGGTCTAGCCCACAATGAAGGAGGCAGAAGCAGCCGTCAGCACTCCGTACTGATACAGACTTAAAGCTGTTGGTCCCTTCAATTTAGAAGCTCAGGGAAGGTAAAGCTGCCTTCACCCAGACTGCAATGTGACTGGATCTGCTGGCAAGTGGCTCCCAAGGCCATGTCTGTCACCTGGCCTTGACCTAGCCTCATTATGCAGGTCAAGGACACTCTATGTTTCATGACTGCCCTTACTGTTCACCAGAACCTCCTCCTCCTCCTCACTGACTCATCTGCTACAGCACAAGGCACTGAGACATCCTGAGAGGTGGCTGCAGGCCTGGAGGAGGAGAGGGTGGCACACGCCACAGGGATGCATCGGGCTGGAAGCCAGACAGGATTGGATGAGTAACTGCAGATTCTTTCTGCAGAGCTTGTTGTCACGGGGAATAGCAAGTGACTGTCTCCCCCTCCCCCGCTTCATCCGCTGCACCCCTGTGATTCTGGCAATTAGACTCTGAGCCAAAATCTGGGAACAGGTTGCAGGGATCCAGTAGATCAGGCTAGCACAGGACTCGAGTGAAAATGGCTTCAGAAATGAGGGCAGACCATGGCTCAGACTCTCCTGTGCTTGTTCCAACATAGATTTGTGAGGCAAAGACAGGCAATATGGGAATCCCTTCTCAGGACACACTGGGAAGGTAACTACAACCACCACCACAAATGCCTACTCCCTCAGCCCGGGGTGTCTGCTCCCTCAGCCTCAGGTGTCTGCTCCCTCAGCCTCAGGTGTCTGCTCCCTCAGCCTCAGGTGCCTGCTCCCACAGCCTCAGGTGCCTGCTCCCTCAGCCTCAGGTGTCTGCTCCCTCAGCCTTAGGTGCCTGCTCCCTCAGCCTCAGGTGTCTGCTCCCTCAACCTCAGGTGTCTGCTCCCTCAGCCTTAGGTGTCTGCTCCCTCAGCCTCAGTTATACCTGCTTCCCAAGCTTCATGAAGCCCATCTGCCCCCATCTCTGCTTCCGACGTCCCTTCCCTTCTGAAGCCTTTCCAATTACCTAGGTAAACAACAGTGGCCTCCTCCTCAGGTTCCACAAGGCTCCCCAACAGTAGGCCCATGGTTGACCTCCCAGTGTCTCAGAACACAGACTTTAAGAAGCAGGGGTTGACTGAGGTATCCTGGGTTGCATTTTTAAGGTTGTTTTTGCTGTTTTCCTGCTCCTCTTATTTCTGAGTGTGTCTTGTGTCCTTTGATGGGAAGGAAGGGTGGATCCCCAGGGAACAACCTAAAGAACCAAGAGTAGCCTTCACGGCACAGAATCGGAAGAGAAGCTATTCTCCCAGAACCATCTTCCTCTCCTGGGGGTTGGGCTGCGAAGACACCAGGGGGTCCTGCCGATGCTCTCACCTGCAGCCTAGCACCAGCCTTCCAACCTCCAGCCAGAGAAGGAGCAGAGTGGACAGGGCAGCCATCACCACTGGTGGCCTCTACCTATTTACTTCACCTACCTGGAGAAAGTCACCGAGCAGAATGGAGTCTGGCTTCCTACTCTCTTCCACGTATCCGAAAGCTCTCCCACCCCCCAGATCTCTGTCCACAGAGAACAAAAAAATGCTAACAGGACCATAGGGTGAAGCACTGTGGCATTTTGCTCAAGCTGGTCTGAAATCCACAGGAATCCTCCTCCCTCCTCAGAGCAGTGGGATCACAGGCCTGTGCCACCAGGCCCCATCTGTTGATGGGATATCAGCATTCTGGAGCTGCCTTGGTGACATAACGGGGGTGGGCAGGGTCGAGAGGCAAAGGTCACATCTGGGACTTGAGCAGACCACCTCAAGAGCTGATAGGACCCCACCTCCCTGTTAGAGGACTAAGGCCTGAGAGGAGGGTGCCACAAGGGAGGCAAACCCCTGAGTCCTGCCCTCACAGCCGCTCCCGAAATCCTAGCCCTGAAGCGCTGGATGGTAACTACTAAACAGCTCCCTCTTCTGACACCCTGTATGTGGAGAAAAGCCCGTGCCAACTAGCCCATCCTCTATACGGAAGCAGAAATTGCAGGGAGTGCCTCTTACCTCTTACCTCTATGCCCTGATGCATAGTAGAAGCCTGGCTCAGGATCAGGATCAGGCGGAGAGAGAACAAGGAAGGTGCGGTAGACTAGGAAGAAGAGGAAGGAGGAAGGCCAGGGGTCGCTTCTAGACTTTTCTGTAACAGACCTCAAGGCCACGCCCACAGCCCTAGTTTCCCACGTTGCAGGTTGGGAAGGCTGGAGAGTCCTCGGGAAATTCCCGCGCCCCTGCTGGCCAGAAAGCGCCTGGAGATCGCCTTCCTTCCAAGCGGATCGCACACCCTGCTTCGCGTAGGGACACGCGGCCCTCTCCACCTCTGCATCGAACTCCGCCCCTCCTCCCACCTTCTACCTCACCTCGCCATCAGCCCCCCACATCACCTTCTCGCCGTGACCACTCGAGCTCTCGGAAAGCCATCCGCACCGGCTCCCTAAGAAGTCGCACGCAAAGGGCTCCGTCCGAGTCGGTAACCCCGCGCCCCACGCTAGCACCGAATAATCCGAGCCCTAAAGACAAGCGTCGGCCGGAGAGCAGCCTCAGATCACCCGCTACCGGCCCGCCCGATCTTGGAGACGCAGCGCCGGACACTGGCACCCTGGTCCTAGCTCCTGGGGACTCCGGGAAGACCGGTCTATGGACAGTCTGGAACCGCCAAAGGGTACAGGCTTCGGTCCCCGCGCGGGGGCGCTGGAACATTGACTTCGCGTCCCTCACGAGCTGCGCGGCCCGAGACGTGTCCAGCTCTGAGTGCACCCTGCCCTGGGAGCGGCTTGGAGGAACCCCGGGTCGAGACTCCCCGACCCCGGCTGCGCTCCCCTCGGTTTCTCCCTTGTCGCAGACGGTTCCAGCAGCGTGATCCGCCGGACTCCTTCGGAGCCCAGCCTGCAGCCCTGAAAAGCTGCGGCCCTTCTCGTCCAAGAATCTGGGCTGCAAGCCGACGTGGAAACCGGGGAGCCGGTCGCTGGACCCCCTGGAGCCGACAACTGGAGGAGCTCACTGCCGGGGGCCGGGGGCGCGGCCGGGGTTGGGAGAGAAGGTGCGGGCGCGAGGAACGCTGGGTGGTGTCGAGCCCAGCGTCCCGGCAGCCGAGCCGAGAGGACGCACGCTAGGTAGCAGCTCTGGACGACGCGCACCTCTAGCGGGACTCTGCGTTCACGCCCCCGGGGCGCCCAGGCTCCGCCCCCTACCTGCGCCGAGGCACCGCCTCCGCCACTCCATTGGCTAACCTCGCCGCCCGTCAGACGAGCCCCCGCCGCCCTCCCCGGGCCTGGAGCTGTACCTCTTAGCCCCCGGGCCACTGGCCTGCGCCACTCTCCCGCGCTGCACCAGCCACAGACCCCGTCGCCGCTCCCGGCTGCCTGCCGCGGGCTCAGGGCGGACCATGCGCCCTCCGAGACCACCGCCTGCCCGCTGGCTCTGCGTGCTGGCAGGAGCCCTCGCCTGCGCCCTCGGACCCGCGGTGAGTGTGCGCCCCTCAACCCAGATCCCGGGGATGGGGGAACTGCGGGGGCGGAGGATCCGGGACCATCTGGCCATCGCGGGGCAGCAGGAACGCGGTTCTCGTCTTCTCTCTTCTCCCGGGACCGGATCTAGCCCAGAGGCGTGGGAGCTCGATGACGCCGGGTGCCTAATAGCTCAGCCTAGAGCGCTCACCGCAAGGTGATCCCAAGCAGCGGTGGAGAGGTTGGGGGCGAGAGGGAGCCCCAGACTTGCCTTGCGATGAGTGTCTGTGGGGGTACGTTGGGAGGAGAGCTGTGGGCGGCACGATCGGGTGAGATGGGAGATTCTGTAGACTGTCGGGTGGGAAGGTGGCTGTGAGTGTCTGGAAGCCTCGCTGGGTATTTTGTGAACTTGTGGGATGAAGACAGCACAGACAGCTTTAGTGCCTGTACCCTGGGAAGGGGTCCTTGGGATCTGGTGAGACTCTCCTTCTTGTGCCCTACCTCCTGTGACTATAGGATGGTGGTGGGCAGGTAAAAATCAGAGTTGGTGGCAGGAACAGGCATGTGTTGGGAAAAGCGGGAGGTGGGTAGGGGGGCTTGCTCTACCTTCGACCTCTGCTTCCTCCCATACCGACATGTGTGTGGGTGTGCTCCTGCGGCTGTGACAGACTCACCAGGGTCATAGGGCAGATGCCTGGTCACCTCCTCTGAGAGGAAGGAAGACCTCAAGACTCAGAGTCCTCCTAAACCCGTTTTACAGAAGGGCAAAATGAGGCCACAGGAGCCACACCTGTCCTTGCCAGCCACACTTGGACAGAGGTGATCTTCCCCTCCCTTTGCTCCAGGCCTGTGAAGCTGTTGCTTTAAGATAGTCTTTTCCTAAGTGGATTCTGGTTTGAAACAAGCCGGCTGCCTGGAGGAGGTGGGGAATCTTGGTCATCTAGTGCTGTGTATCCAAGGTTCCTCCCTTATCACCACTTCCACCAGGGCAGATATCAGGGCATGAATCTGTTTCCACCTAGCTGGTGTCTGGCACACCTTGACACCTTGACCTGGAAATGCTCACTCCCCCTACCCCACCGGCAGGAGAAGGCACTGTCCTCTGAGAATTGGCAAGTGTTGTCCCTGTCCTCCTGTTCATAGTCCCTCCCCACATTCCAAGCTTCATCAGACTCCGGCCCTCAATGTCACCATCTTCAGGCCACACCAGTAACCCTTCAACTTCCCCATCTCTGTGTCCCAGCTACTCCGATTTGGATCAGCCAGGGATTTTTGGACCACTGGAGGCCTCTGACCCCAGGTACTGTCCATCTAGAAACAGATTGAACCCAGCCCCTCCCATACCCACCATCTCATCTTCCCACTTCTTATTCAGTGCCAAACCTGGCTCCTCCTCCACGGAGCCTTCCCTGGTTGCTCCCCATCTTGCCACTCCAAGCCCATCTTCAGTTCCACCAGCCTCCCAGCCTCAGCTGCGTCCATCATGGAGAGTGAGAGTCACTGTCCTCTTACAAAGGGAAGGGACTTAACCTGGACTGGAGGGGGATCCCAGCTCCTGCTTTCTCTCCCTGTCCTCACTTGCTCCCTCCTGGAATGGACACCCAGTGTTCCTACTCCAGCCAGACTTGGGGGGGACATGTTATCAGAGTCATAAAATGGCAGCTGCAGAGTTCACAGTGAAGGCATGGAGCCTTATCACTCTGTTTATGGGGCCCTGCCTTGGCCTAGGAAGGGAAATCTTTGAACGGAGAAGCCAAAAAAAAAAAAATGGAAAGAAAACTTCCAGTGTCCCAGAGGAGGAAGTGAAGTGTGTCCCAAGGCTTTCTATAGCTCCTCCCCCCGTCCCAGGCAGCAGACAGGTGCCCAGTGCCAGGCTGGTGGGGACACTCAGACTAGTGACAGTCTGAGGTCCTACCTTGCAAGAGTCTCAACCAGTGGCCTCAGATCGACGTGGGGCACAAGCTCTTAGAACTGAGGGACAGACATACTATGACAGACAGACAGGGAACCCAGAGGAAGAAGCAGGGTAATGTCCTGAAGTTTGGCTACACTGGCCAACCTTCAGCTGTGAACTCTGAAAGCAGCCTTTGCTAGCCTGGCTTCTATCAGAACCTGGATGGCTTGGGTGGATGACAAGCCTGGCCCCTCTGAGTGTTCTCCAGGCAGGCGGAGGCCACACAGCACCAAGAGTCATTTCTGGACACCACTATCAGCCTTCCCAGCGTCTGCACCCACTAATGCTCAGTCTTCTGGCCTCAGCAGACCATACTGTGAACTTTAGGAAACATGGTGGCTACTGGGCCAGAACACCTTCTGGGATAGAGAGACAACCCCAGTTATGTGTGCCCAGGACTCTGAGGTACTCTGAAAGATGGGATTCTCTCTAGACATGTCTGCCTCCCCATCCTGGAGCCTGGAGACCTAGCCTCCTCTGAGGTTTCTGTAGCATGTGTGGGAGCCGTAGCTTGGGACAAGAGCCTCGGACCCTGCCCCTCCCCACACCCATGGCTAGTTAGCTTAGGAAGCATCTTTATTATCCATAGAGGAACTGGGTTTCCTCATCTCTAAGGGACACGAGAACCGTTGGCCCAGTGTGAAGGAGAATTGGGAAGGCAGGGCTGGGCTGGAACCAGCCCCACTTTGATCTTCTCAGGTCTCAAGTGAGACAGAGTTGGGTGTGCAGACAGGACCTTCATGGACTCTGAAGGAGGAGGCGATAGTGAAGACGTTGTTGTGACAGGTTATCTCTACTCCTTGGTCCCAAGCTTGGACCTTTTATCTAACTAGGGCAGGCAAGATCCAGGGAGTAGGTGAGGTGTCATGAAGTGTCTTCAGGGTGTGACAAAGCCTCTCCGAGGAGAATGGGCAGTAGTTGGTGGGACATCTCCAAGTGAGGGATGCCTTGGTGGTGTGCAGCTTGTGTAAGATCACCTGCCTGGGACCTCTACCCCGTTACCCTCTACCTGGCCACCCTCCTGCCATTATCAACCCCTCCCCTTGGCCTCTTGGTTTGTGGACGAGCGCTGGAGGCTGGAGACAAACATGAGCCTCACCCTTCTCTCAGTCTCCCAGGCTTTACCCTCCCATTTGGATTCCCAACATGAAAACAAACAAGTAGGAAGAATATTATGGTAGAGGTGTGAGCGGTGGCTCGCACCTGCACTCCAACAATCAAGAGGCTGAGGGAGGAAGAGTGAATTCATGGCCAGCCTGGGCTCCTCGGTGATAAATAAATAAGAATCATATAATGAGGGACTGGAGAAATGGCTTGGGGGTTAAGAGCAGCATCCTGCTCTTGCAGAGGGCCCATGCAGGTACACTCTCCACCACCTAGAACTCAGCTCCAGGGCGCCCTCCTGTGGCTTCCTTGAGCACCTACAGGTATGCAGTGTACCCACATGCACTAAGATGCACACACACACACATAAAAAAATTTTTTTAAATCTCTGTAAAAGGATAGTATAATGAATATACAGATATTTCCTAGGTTTGGCATTGGCTAATTTCAACGTTTAATATTTACATCATTTGTTTATCTTGGCTAGAATGTACTCGAGTCAATAAGAGGAATGTTGACCTTTAACTGCTTGGTTCAAAATGCACGTCTAAAACCAAAGCCCGCTTTCCTGTGAGCTATGATAATACGCTCACACCTAACACCGGTCCCCCTCATTCCCATAGTTAAATGTTCTCCAACCAAACTTAAGCACCACAGGATGAACAGTGACATCCTCCGAGGGCTGTCTTGTTGCCATGGCTCTTGTCTGACTGACAGAGTGAGAGTGAGGTGCGCTGGCAGTGAGCATTGGGCATGACTTCCCCAGGCAGGACCAGCCCTCTATGCATTCTGTCTAATGTGGCTCAAGAGTCTAAGATCGGCATCTCTCAGGAAGTGCCTCCTCCTAGGTACCTACAAAAACAAGTTCTTCCTGCATAACAGGTCACTGGGGGAGGGGAAGAGTCCACAGGGCTGGCATCTGTAAATCGAAGACTTGCAGTCTTGGGCTCCTTGAGTGGTTGGTGTGCAGCATTTTGCACGTGGTAGATATCAATACTAGCAGCACCCACAGATCCTGGTCCCCCTTCTCCAGGGGTTCCCAGGACATCAGGAGCTGTAAATTGAATATGTGCCCCAAAACGTTTTCTGCCCCAGAGGAAACTTCCCTCTATACAAGTGTACTGAGATGGAATAGATTGGCTGGGCTGAGATTCTAGCAATTAGGAGAGCTCTTGGAAGTGTGTGCTCTCTGTCTGTCCATCTGTCTGCCTCTGTGTAGTACTGTTGTTGCCATGGTCATTGTTGTTGAACAGAGGTGGGCATGGTGGCACACACATAATCTCAGCACTGAGGAGGCTGAGGCAAGAGAATCAGAAGGTAGAGCCTAGCTCTGGATCCATAACCAGCCCCTCTCAAAAACAAATGGAAGACAGTGTGTGGGGCAGGGGGACAGTTGAGAATGAGCTGGGCATGGTGACACTCACTTGTAATCTCAGCACTCAGGAGGCTGAGGCAGGAGGATTGCCAGAATGGTTTCCAGATTAGCGCCATTGTAAATAAGTGGCCATGTGCCTTCACAGAAAAGTTTGTGTAGGGGCATTCATTTAGTTTTCTTGGGTAAATGCCTGGGCTGGCTAGCCAGATGTGTACCACTGTACGTGGCTTTTACCTGAGTGCTAAGGATACAGACTCAGGTCCTCGTGCTCACTCACCAAATACATTACAGATGTGGGCATCTCTACAACCCCTGGGAAGTTTCTTAACCCCAAAATGCAACTCTACTTTCCTCACTTTGCACGTGCAGGTGCGCATGCACACACACACACACCAGTTCAAGTTATACTTTTCTCACTCTGAGCTCCTCAGGAGCTCACACTGACTCCTCAAGGAGTCAGTGGGTAGGATGTTCAGGCTGCGCATTTGAAAGTCATATGGCAGGGACAAGCCTGACCTGGCATGGAACTGGGATAGGGCTTCGGTCATAACTGCCACCTCCTCACAGCGTCCCCTGCCGTGAGG